ATAAATAAATAAATAAATAAATAAATAAATAAATAAATAAATAAATAAATAAATAAATGTGACCCCCCCACCTGACATGACCTCCCCAACACAAGACCTACTGACTGCATAAAGCCCTTATAAGCAGAAGAACATCAACACTGACATCCACTAAATTCTGCTGAAGACGTTACCTGGCCTGGTAATGAAACATTCAGAAACCAACCCAGAAGCTTGGAGAATGAACCTCCACCCTCAAAGTTTCCTCTTTCCACTGTGCATTTATTAGTTTCTCACCAGGTCCTAAGATAGCTACATGAGGCCTAGATCTCTTTGTTGACCAGAACTGCTAATTCTAAAATAACTTTCTTTGTAACTGTTGCTTAACATAGTGGAATGTGGGGTCTTAAGCCAAGAAAGAAAGCTGACACTGGAATGTGTGAATAGAACAGTGTGCTTTGTGCAAATCTGACCACTGCATCACCAATCATTTCCACAGGAATGGGACTCTTTGCATTTCAATTCTCTTGTTATGCTTGCTTATTTTCTTGCAGACATTTTATTACCCAAATTAGATAACATCATCAGTGCTAGTAAGGAGTATGGTTTGCTGTCATATAAACACTCTTCTTACTAGCACTGATGATGTTACCTAATTTGAGTAATGAAACATCTGCAAGAAAACAACCAAGCTCAGAGAGCACCAAGGACCCCTTCTTTTAAGAATGGATGCTCATTCTTAAGAACTGGCTAGAAAGACAATAATAAGGCATAAATGTCAATTGAGCACTTCTGATTGGCTACCTCAGGTAACAACTTACATTATTGCTGTAAGATGAGAAACAAGAGACAGTTATAGCAATGGATAATGTACCTGTTTTGTTTGAAATCTCTCCTTCTGGGCAGGGAACACAGTCATAGCAGCAAAATTTCTCTCCTTCCTTCTTTTTCTTTTGATTTCCAGGATGGCAATGTTCATTGCATACTGAAAGGGGACAGACCTGATATAAATAGAAAATGAACTGGGTTAAGAAAAATGTACCTTGTAGTGTCTGTACAGCCCCCCAATATTTGAGCAAGACATCTCTGTTAAGCTTTGATAGTAGATATAATGCTAACAATAGGACTTAGATGTATAATACTGCTTCACAGTGCTTTACAGCCCTCTCTACACAGTTTACAGAGTCAGCATATTGACCCCTGCAACACTGGATTCTCATTTTACCGACCTCAGAAGGATGGAAGGCTGAGTCAACCTTGAGCTGGTCAGGATCAAACTCCTGGTTATGGGCAGAGTTAACCTGGAAGACTGTATTTCATTTCATTTCATTTTCATTTTATTTGATTTATATCCCGCCCTTCTCCCGACGGGACTCAGGGCGGCTCACAACATATTTAAAACAAAAATATACCCACAATCCCCGCCAAATAAAACCAATTAAAACCAAATATTTTAAAGTTGTGGTGTTTAAAATTTTCTAAAAAATAAAACCAATTTAAAATCCTCCCTAGGCCAGGCCCGCTTGTTGGAAAAGCCATGTCTTGAGGGCGCGGCGGAAAGTAAGGAGATCCGGAATCGTCCGGATCTCGGGGGGTAGTTCGTTCCAGAGGGCAGGGGCACCCACAGAGAAGGCCCTCCCCCTGGGGGTCGCCAGCCGACATTGCTTGGTCGACGGCACCCTGAAGAGACCCACTCTGTGGGAGCGTACCGGTCTATGGGAGGGAATCTGTGGCAGAAGGCGGTCTCGGAGATAGCCAGGTCCTATGCCATGGAGCGCTTTAAAGGTGGTAACTAACACCTTAAAGCGCACCCGGAAGGCCACTGGCAACCAGTGCAGCTCGCGCAGCAGCGGTGTTACGTGGGA